TTTTTTTTTTTTTTTTTTTTTTTTTTTTTTTTTTTTTTTTTTTTTTTTTTTCCTTAAAACGACAAAGGTAGGAAATTGCCCGTGAAAATGTATTGTCGGAATAGGTTGTTGTTGCCCCCACCTTGAAGAAGAATCATTACAGCCATTGCCTTTACCTGTGTTTTCTATATTTTTAAAGCTTGATATGTCCTCAACTAAATCATGAGTTTTGAACTTTTGTGGCACATGGACTCATCATACTATATTTGGTCCATCCATGCCCTTCAAAAACTAAAGGCTTCAACACTAAATTTTTCACACATCAAGTCTATGATTTGATTTTTATAATCTTTGTTATTGGCATGAATTGGTCCAGAAGAACGGTGGAATTCAATTTTGTGATCAATGAGTTCATCGCTTTTTTTTTGAGATCATGAATTCGTCCAAGTCTGGATCAATTCACCCAAATCCACGCTAAACTTTTTAATATATCAAATCAACTCGAAGATTTTATCCCATGAACCTAAAATCGAACTGAATCGGTTCGAGTTTAGAAAAATGAACACTACTCTAACTAGAAATGTTAATCCATCTAACCCACTTCTATAATTTGGGTTACGTTAGTCAGGTTCTCGAATTGTTGGGTTGAATGTACACCCCTGTTCGACCCGATTCTTTTCATCATATTGCATCATACTGTGGTGGGCCAATAATGAATCAAATAGGCTGACTGACTGAACTTCAGCATGGAAATGTACCGTTCCTTTGAACAAAATGAACTCCATAATGAATATCTGTATCTACCTTAAATCTAACCTATTTTAAGAATTGATTTTGTTTAATTGCTGTAGATCTAAAAATTATTTTAGTCATTACAACTATATGTTTAACAAATTCAGCTAATCTCTCTTGTGCTTCAGTTTTTCAAATAATTTAATTTTTATGTAGACCTTTTATTTTTTTAATAAAAAAAATCATGTTTGATCGAGATTGTTCCTTTTAGAGACATGGAAAGTAAAGTACCAAATCCGAAACATAATAAGACTCTAAGTACTAAAAAGGGGTGGGGAAGGTATTTGAGCTGTTTCTTTGTCCTCCTTCAGTAGTTTCTTGCTCTAGAAACAAGTTTAATGAAAATTAGCAACCTTTATCAGAGGTACAACATGAATATATGTTCATGCACTATGCCCACAGATTTATGTCAGCAAATCTAGAAGAATGGACAAAATGTTACTGATAAATTGGTGTGGAAACTAAATGTGTTTGCTTTTTTAACTTAAAGAAACAGAGCATCAAAACCAGATCTTGTGTTTAACGCTTGAAATATTAAACTACAAAACAGGAGTCTGGTGAAGCTCCATCTAGACTTGTGAACAGCTATGATCAATGTCGTTGTGATAAGTTGTGTAGACCAAGTGAAGGATTTAGAAAGGGGCATATAAATGATACCCGATTTGGTGTAGCAGTGAAGATGGTTCGTACCATGTTAATCGACGTTATAACGTTAAATCCTCCAGGCAGAAGCTTCTGTTATTCCCAGTTCAACAAACAGAGAGTTGATGTTGGGTTCTTCCAAGAGGCTAAATGCAGTAAATCCATAGTAGGTATGGTATAAATCAGGAAAGTCCCTCGGAAACTTGCTGAAACCACCATACTGTCAAGGAAAATTATGGCAAAAAGTTTCAAACACGAATTCATGTTGAGCTGCATAACCCTTTTATAGTTAGTTCAGAAATTGGGACTAGGCATATATCCATTCTAGAACTGTGCTTTCATGATTTATCCATGGGAAAATCTTGAATTTTTGTATAAATAAAAAAAAAATGCAAATGGAAGGTGAAGAAAAGCGATAGTACCTTAAATTGGCACGTCAGCAGAAATCCCTTCAAAGCCTTCTTATTAATGAGATCGAGGCCTCCTAAAATCCTCAAGGTAGATCCAATCCTACCACAACATTACTTAGTCAAGAGATAAATCTCATATTGTCCTAGAATAAGCTCACACATTTATTCATTTTTTTCCTTACCAAAATGCATAACAAGTGTCAGCAGGCTTGTTAGGTCGACCTTGAAATCCTCCATCAGCTGCCTGTTTCTGTAGTCCGAATACAAGAATATATTTGGTTACTCTTCGATTAATAGTAGCTTAGTGCGTTAAAATGAGAAAGAAGCTAATCAAAGGAAGAAAAAACTATTTTTTGTAAACATGTCTTTGCTTCCAATCTGCCGTGGCCCTTATTTTGTAGTAGAAGTCAAATTTCTAAGCATTACAACGTAGAAGGATTGAAAACTCTTTCAAGGTAGGATGATGAAAATGAACCTGCAAGCACCACTCCAGCAACAACGGGGCATTTATTATGGAAGAAGAATTATCTCTAGAGAGAAGATCATCTTCAATGAAACCCATTAAACGGAGAGATGCAATAGCACAATACGTTCCACCACCTGTGTCACTAAACCCAATCATCCGTAAATAATGATCAACTTGATGAAATGAACAACATTGGCAAACAACTATGATAGATCCTAGACGTTATGATTTTGTGAGTAATACAAGTAAAAGCGGAAGGGTATTGAGTTTATTAGTTACGGTATTGTTAATCTCACCATGAGATTCTGAACCAGGAGTTAACCCAAAGCCACCATCATATGACTACAAGAAAGTCATTACGAAAACTTTAGGATTCATTATTTTCTACAGGAGGCCAACGTAATAAACACGAAAGTCAAGATTGTGGCATGCTTCAAACAAACCTGGCAGTTCAATATGTAGGTTTTAGTTTTCTGTCTGTCCATGCCGCTCCAATTCTCAAGCATATTACAGATGGCAGCTGAAAATTGATCAATGGCATCATGAATATATTATACTAATATTCCCACAGTTTAAGCATAAAGCCACAAACAAGTTTTATTTACCAGCACAATAGACGAACCGAAGGTCAGCCTCTGCTCCAATATGGACAGGCACAAAGCTGTCAGGATAAAAATTTGTGGCAAAGAAGATCGGATTCAACATTGTTACACAAAAAGAAACTTGCAGAGAACGTGTCAGCATTTACATGATGAAGAATGTACAATCTAAGATAAAAACCAATTCTAACGTTATAGTCTAAATTTCCACAAGAATATAAACATTTAACTTCAGAGGGTTCACCAACATTAGTAGCCGTCGTGTACATACACCCTGTGTTTTGGTTCATAATAAAGTTTTAAATATATGCCAACCTTCTTCATTAAATAATATCTACTTAAAGTTGAATAATGAATAGGTCCGAGAGGTATTGTTGATTAATGAATAGCCCAGTTGGTCGCATAGATTGATCATATAAAGATACATTTTAAGAATCAATTTTAATTGATTTTAGAATAAGTAATCAATGGATATAAAAGCTTTCAACAATACCTTCCATCAGATTGCTGAAGGTTTCTCATTGAGATTGCAATTGATTCAGAGTCAATATTGGAGAAGTCATAACCAATGACCTTCAGTATTGCAAGGGCACAGTATGTGCTTGCCAAGTGACTACCGTTGTGAATTAAATCCTATAAGAAAAAACAGATAAATATTACAAGAATAAAAGAGAACATATGGCTCTCATTTGCACTGCACTAACTGTGTATGTGCCAATAGTGAAAGCAGATATTGGAGACGAGAAGGAAACAAATCAATAAACATTAATATGCTATCTCAAGAGGTTCAATGGGAAGCTTTGTGCACTATGTCTTATCATACCCCATCCTCATCTGGAGGAAACTGAGAACTTCTTGATCCACAGAATCCATAAAATTCTCCTGCATCAAACCAAAAGCTAATCACCAGGCACTTTCTCCATTTAAATTTTACACTTTCTTTCTCAGTAAGTTCATACCATTAGTTTTTTCGGCCTTCTTTGTAGGAAATGCCTGAAAGGACAAGACCCAACTAACAATGCTGTCCTTGTCGACCTATAGAATTTCAAACATCTAATGTTATTTTTTCAAATAACCTTCGGCATTTTAACACAATACGGTGGTTGTGGAAATAATCAATGCATTACAATATTTGGATGGAGATTATAGCTGCACAAAGGTGCATAAACGACACAAGATAACAGCAAGCATAGTGTCAACATTGTAAGAGTTCCGCAGCTAATTGGTTCAAAATTCATTCTCGTAAGAGTTGAATATAATCACAAATAAAAAATGCACAATTTAGATCAAAAGCTAGATACAAGAACTCGAATAGCAGCTAAGAAACTCTTCCCAATATCCCCCATCCCTCAAATTCAAAATCAAAACCTTTTCATATCCATAATCAAACAATTAAAAGGCTCACATAATTACCATAGGTTCCTCTAAGCCGCAACCGATTACCAAAAGTCAAATTCATAATCAGATAGAAAAAAATTACGAGCTTCAAATTTCTAATCAGCCTAAATCAAGAATTTCACAGTCGGCATTGGGGATAAACAAAGGATATTCAACATGAAAAAACAGCGGAAAGGAGGAAAACTAAACATTCAATCATAACACAAATCTCTATCTCAATGTGTATTCTGATCAGAACAACGGGATACAAAGAGAAATTGAAAATTGTACCCACACGATCCATGGCGCCAAGAAGGTCAAGGCTGGAGATCACGAAGTAAGCAAGTGTAAGGTGGTTAATCTCTTGAGTCTGATACTGACTAGGTAACAACTGGTACATCAACTCCAAGAACGTCACGTGGCGATCTCTATCGAAACCAGAAGAAGAAGAAGAAGAAGCGGATGATTCTTCTAACAGGTTCGACTCTGAATCCATGGCGACACCTTTCTAGATGACTGAAAGACTTGTCTCTTGGCTCTTGGCTCCTCGCCATTTTATTTCACTCACACCTCGCATTTTTGCAAATTTTATAAATTTTCTCAAAAGTATTTTAATGATTTAATGTAAATTTAAATAAAATTATAAAAATAAAAAAAAATCTAACTTTACCTTTTAAAAAATATTCCTATTTTTTTTTAAGTGTCTGACCTGTAAAAATGCGTACTTCTTGCTGGAATTTATTTTAATTAGCGATTTATTTATTTATAATAAATTATTTACAAAATAACATTATTTATTGTATGAAAAATAAAAAAAAGTGTTAGAATAATGAATAGATAAATGAGCATATTATATAATAAGTTAAATTACAAATTTATCCTTGAAAATCAATTCATTTTTCTTTTTTATTTAATTCACATTTAAAACCCTAATAACTCATAACCTTTTGGGCTACCAGGAGCGCGAGCCCAATAACTCCGCTCAAGAACCCTCGTTCTATTTTCATTTTCTTTCTTCTCTAGCGAAGCGCGAACCCGTTTGTTCAACAAGAGCTGCTTTGAGAGCAGAAATTTAATCGAGCACTTGGCGTGCAATATCGCATATTTTTCGCTCTGAACATGAAGAAGGCCAACAAAATGGCTCTCTTAACATTTGCTGAGAGGTGTAAGGTGCCCACCTTTATCACTTTTTCCTGAAATCAGTATAATGAAACTTGATTTACAGTAAAAATGATATCTAGGTTCAGAAGTTTAATATTGTGGTTTTCTTTTTGTTTTAGAATATTCTTTCTTCCAACTGGATTGGTAGTCTCAATACTATCAAAGCCGATGCCAAAGGAAGGTACCCATTTGTTCTAATAATCGTGTTTTCTTCTCTGAGTTTTCATTTGGTGAACCAAAAAATGGTTATGGTGAATGGGATTGTGACTTGCTGAAGATTATATTAACAAAATTCATTTAAACTGATTATGTTTGGCTCAGCAAGGAGGACATTCACACCTCAAAAGTTATGTACATGATCAGGAAAGGAAGGCCATACATTTGGGTTCCTGAGAAGGATTTGCACAATGTGGTATGGTCTTCTTTAAACATCTCTGCCACAGATTTAATCTTTTTTTCTTTCCTAGGAAGGGAAAGAACCACAAAACTTTTGAATTTGTTCTTTGAAGCTCCCATTACTCTAAAGTCGGGTTTAACTGATTTCAATTGAATTTCCTGACTTCGTTTTATATTGAATTGTCCTATCTAGCGTTGTTATATGTCAAATTACCATTAGGTGTTTTGATGTTTGTATCGCTTTGTTGAGTTTTGCCAATTTATTCAATCACTTGAAGATTGAATAAATGGTATCAGAGCTAGTCACTAGGCGGTGTGCTAATAAAGACGTTGGACCCCCAAGGGGAGGGATTTTGAGATCGCACATCGGTTGGAGAGGGGAACAAAGCATTCCTTATAAGGATGTGGAAACATCTTCCCAGTGAACTCGTTTTAAAACCATGAGGGGAAGCCCGAAAGGGAAAGCCCAAAAAGGACAATATTTGCTAACGGTTGGCTTGAGCTATTGTATGAGAAATTGAGAATTTTGATTAAATAACGAATACCCTGATCATTCCATAGTGTTGGAGTAGTTTATGCACTTGAGGCATTTTTCTTAATTCCCCCGTTTCCTTAATTAGTCCCTCAAGTTTCATCTGCAGTGTCAGCTCGAGTTCTGATCTTAAAGCGCCACCCATGAAAAGATGCAAAACAGTATCTTGGTTCTTTTGATCCTCAAAATGTAATATGTGGATCTAAGCGGACCTTGTTTTTGATCCTCAAAATCCTTAAAGATTAAGCTTATAAAGACAACTTAAACACTTGTTTGCTTGTTTTTGGTTGAACTAAGCGGATTTCAGAAATGTTTTTGATAGTATTCAAAGGAGATTATGGATCTATAACCATTGAATTGAAAAACAGAAAAGCAAAAGACCAGAAGATTAAGTGGATCCTAAGTAACTCGAGTTCCTTGTATATGGCACTGCTAGGTTGTTAACATACGTTATTATGTTTTCCCCCAGAATACAATCATTGACGAGCGAGGTTCATTTTCTGTGGCCAGTCCTTTCCCAGGTCCTCTAGCTTACTTGTTCAGATCCCTGGAAAAGGTCAGTTCGAGATGCATCTATCTCGTAATTTTCAGCTATCAAAATATCTCTGATGTTGGAGACGTAATATGTCGCTGAGCAGTACCTCTATCTCTCAATTTGCAAATTTACCTTTCTCTTGGAAGGAACCTGTGACTCTTAAGGAAAGAACTTCAAACTTAAATTAGAGCAACCACCCTGAATACTTATGCATTTTGTCATCCTGCAGTTGCCACCACGGGTTGCACTTACCGGGGACATTACACGTCTTAAGAGCGAAAAGGTAATGCATCCTTTTGCCTTAGAATTTACATTTTGCAGTCCAATTGTTATGTAGCACATGTAAAGATCCTCAGCGACGTTGCCATGCTTTAATACTATGAAGGGTATGGCTGACATTGTTCCTTGGTGAGGATTGGTGTGGAGGAATTGATTACAAGTAGAAGTAATGGGAAGAGATAAAATTAGTGAATAGCTTAGTTGGTGAATTGATGGGTGAAAATTCTTAAGAGGGGACGTTTCAAATACCTCGAACACTATCTTTTATATGTTAATATCATTTTAGATTTTCGAGTTCTATCAACTCGGTACGGTCCTCTGGTAATTGATTAGTTGACAAACCACACCCGTCTTTGATTATAAACTAACAAGAAAAGTAAGAGGTCAAGCAGCTAAATTGACAAAAAATGTATCCACATCTTATTTTGAAAGACTAGATGGGATTGAATCTTGCGGTTTAGTTTGCCTAGGAATTTTAGTCAGCTTTGGAAGTTCCCAACTACAAGCTGTTTCTTGAAGTATCATGTTTTGATATCGACTTTATTTGGTAGTTAATTACAGGCTCAGGATGCTGTTGAAAGGCTTAGAGGGGCCATACTATCTGAACAGAAAGCCATTGAAGACTTTGGAAGTACAGTCTCCAATGTCTTGAAATCCTCCAGCCTTAAATATACATCACGCAGCCAACACCTCAAGGAGTTCTTAGAAGGGAACGAAGAACGCGTAGTCTATAAGTTTGATGTGAGGTATGGGATTTTTCTCCTCCTCCTCCAAATGCATTCCAGTCTTCAAATAATATGTACTCGAGTTGACAATTCTCTTTGCCAGATCGAGTATGTTTATTGATAGTAAAGGAGGTATGCACGAGGTCGATGCAGAGGACTTCGGCACCTCAAAAGCAGACTCATTAGGTAGGCACATCGCTCATCCTTTCGCTGTTTATTTACTCGATGCAAATGCATCCTTAACTTCAAGTGTGCTAACCATTGTGCTTGTTGTTTCCTTTAGCGCCTTTCTCGGCAGCGCTTATTGATGGAATAAACCAAAGCGACGCGAGACGTAGAGCCCTGATGCTTTTCTGTCATGTGTACTTCAATGCAAATGCAAAGGTATAATAACACCCTTCTGCAATTTTTTGGACGTGTTTCCCTACAGATCTATGGCAGCTTTTTTGCTACGATTGTTAGCATAACTTTGTTTTGCCCATATTGAAGGACGCATACATATTACGAGTGGATCGCAAGGGATTTGATATGCTGGGAAAAGTTCCAAGCTTCACTGTGGGGGATGGATTCGGTCAGTGTGAGTGGAAAGATTTCAGATTTACATTGAAGAATGAAGCGACGAACATTGGAGATTTTTGCCAACAATTAATGGAAATGGAGGAGGAAGTTGTGAAGAGAATTACCAATTATAGTGGTCTTGGGTAGCCTTCCAGCAAATAATTGCCAAGGACTGCCTTAAATCTAGGCACATTTTGTTGTAATTCATACGGTTAAGTCTTTTCTACTTCAGCAATTTAGTGCAATAATTTATCAAAAACAACTTTTATAACAGCAAAACGAGAATTACATTGAAAACCAAGAGGCAAGCCTAAATCGAAACACGAATAGCAATCACAAAATTTTAAAGTCTTGAGAAACTTGAGAGTGAGAAGACAGTAAAATGTTTAATCAACTTCCTCAATCTTAGGACCAGCGCCACTGCCGCCTGATGGAGGAGTATCATCGTCCATTGCGCCGCCGCCCATGTCAGCCCCACCTTGATACATCTTGGCTATGATGGGGTTGCAAATGGATTCGAGTTCTTTCATTTTGTCCTCAAATTCATCAGACTCTGCAAGCTGGTTGCCGTCTAGCCATTGAATGGCCTGCTCAACTGCATCTTCAATCTTCTTCTTGTCTGCTGGGGCAAGTTTACCACCTATCTTTTCATCTCTGATAGTGTTCCTCATATTGTATGCATAGTTCTCTAAAGCATTCTTCGATTCAACTTTCTTCTTGTGTTCCTCATCTTCAGCCTTGAACTTCTCTGCTTCTTGAACCAGTTTTTCAATCTCCTCTTTGGACAACCTTCCTTTGTCGTTGGTAATGGTGATCTTGTTCTTCTGTCCAGTTGTTTTATCCTCTGCAGAAACGTTTAGAATACCGTTGGCGTCAATGTCGAAGCAAACGGTGATCTGAGGAACACCTCTTGGAGCTGGAGGAATGCCGGAAAGTTCAAACTTGCCCAGCAAGTTGTTATCCCTGGTTCTTGTTCTCTCACCCTCGTAGACCTGAATAAGAACACCAGGCTGGTTGTCTGAGTATGTGGAAAATACTTGCTCCTTCTTTGTGGGTATGGTGGTGTTCCTTGGGATCAAAACTGTCATCACACCTCCAGCAGTCTCTAAGCCAAGAGACAGAGGAGTGACATCCAAAAGAAGAAGATCCTGCACTTTCTCATTTCCCTCACCACTCAAGATAGCAGCTTGAACAGCAGCCCCGTAAGCAACTGCCTCGTCAGGATTGATACTCTTGCAGAGCTCCTTGCCATTGAAGAAATCCTGCAGTAGCTGCTGCACCTTAGGAATCCTCGTAGAGCCACCAACAAGGACAACATCATGGACGCTGCTTTTGTCCATCTTTGCATCTCTCAGACACTTCTCAACTGGCTCCATACACTTCCGGAACAGGTCCATGTTGAGCTCCTCGAATCTAGCACGAGTGATGGTTGTGTAGAAATCAATTCCTTCATACAAAGAATCAATCTCGATTGTAGTTTGAGCAGTGGATGAAAGGGTTCTCTTCGCCCTTTCACAAGCAGTCCTCAATCTCCTCAGAGCCCTTGGATTTCCACTGATGTCCTTCTTATGCTTCCTCTTGAATTCCTGAACGAAATGGTTAACCAATCTGTTGTCGAAGTCCTCACCTCCGAGATGGGTGTCACCGGCAGTTGCCTTCACTTCAAAAATACCCTCCTCAATTGTGAGAAGAGAGACATCAAATGTTCCTCCACCTAAATCAAATATGAGTACATTCTTCTCGCCAACACTGGATGCTTTCTTGTCTAGTCCATAAGCGATAGCTGCCGCAGTGGGCTCATTGATGATCCTCATAACATTGAGGCCGGCAATGACACCTGCGTCTTTGGTGGCCTGACGCTGAGAGTCATTGAAATAAGCAGGGACAGTAACGACAGCGTTCTTCACGGAGGAACCGAGGTAAGCTTCTGCTATCTCACGCATTTTCGTGAGGACCATGGATGAAATTTCCTCAGCAGCGAACTGCTTCTCTTCGCCTTTGTAGTTGACAACAATCATGGGTTTGTCACCTGGACCGGCGATGACCTTGAACGGCCACATTTTCATATCGTTCTGGACCGTGGGATCGGTGAATCTCCTTCCAATCAACCGCTTCGCATCTGTCGAGTACGAAACATAGTAAATATTTAGAAGACTAGCATTTAGAAAATGGAACTTAGAAAACGTGTAACACAACACAAGGATACGAACAACAACGATAATTGTCGAGAAAACTACACAACTACAGAGGAACAGTTCCTGGAATCTTGGGCCAGTTGTATGAAGAGTTCTGGAAATCAATTTTCTATCTGATATGTAAACTTTTGTAACAATTTGTTTCTCCAATATAATTTCAATGAAAATGGAAGTTATGCTAAGCTTTACAACAATTTTAAGTCATACAAGCGCTCATACTTGCTATACAGATTAGTGCTAAAAACAGAATTGCACAAATCATTCCTAATAAATTATATACGCAACAGCGTGAGAAGGCAAACCACACCTTAAGTTAACATTCACACAAGATCAAAGCACCCAAACACGGGAAAGAACAATAAATTTCACAAAAGCAGGCGGAAGTAAAATAATCAAGAAATTCACATACCGAAGACAGTGTTAAGAGGATTCATGGCAACCTGGTTCTTCGCAGCATCGCCGATAAGCCGCTCGCTGTCAGTGAAAGCAACATACGACGGCGTTGTCCGATTCCCCTGATCATTGGCGATAATCTCAACACGATCGTGCTGCCAAACTCCAACACAGGAATAAGTAGTACCGAGATCGATACCGATGGCCGGACCCTCGCCCTTTCCCGCCATTAACAAAATACAAAGAAAATCAGCTCAAGAACGATAGAATTTGAGAAAAGAACTGGAGAACAAAAGGATTGAATTGCAATGGAAGAAATGAAATGCTTAGAAGGTATATTCAACAATCTGTAATGAGATCGGAAAGGTGAGTGGAATATATACGAAGTTGGGAACTGGTTGGAAAATCTGGAGAGTTCTAGGAAGAACCATGTCTGGAATGTTCCGTGCAGAAAAAACAGGGTTCGAGATGCTTCAATTGGGGTTCGACGTGTGTAATCCCCGCGCCATTTCTTCATGCGGTTAAGCCCCTAAATTATTACCATCTTTAAATTTATAATACTACGCCTCACTACACCTCACTCTATTTTTAAAATTAAAAAAAAAAACTGTTTGTTAATTTTTAAAAAAAAAATAGTGAAAAAAACAAAATTGTTGTGAAAGAAACTAATATTTATTCAACCTAAAAATAAAATTTATGCTTAATATATTTGTTAATTTATAAGTTTGTTGAAATTTTAATATATTTTAGAAAAGCAGAAATTTATTAAAAATATAATTTTCGAGTTTTTCTAATATGGCATTAATTTTGGTTTTTTCTAATTTTTTAAAAACCACTCTTCTTATTTAGGTTTGATGAAATTAAAATATCCAAATTTCTATTTAACAAATAAGCTTATATTTTTTTAAATAATTTTTTTCTAAGAAAGTAAGGTCGAAAAAAATAAGGTTTTAAATTTAAAAATAAGGTCGAAAAAAATATTTTCCTATTAATTAAAACAAAAATTTAAAAGTTAAAAATATTTTGGGCTACTTTTGTGGTTTATAGCCCAGCCCATCAACATCAATGGGCCGGTTTTCTTAAACCATTTCGCGGATTCGGTGAAGTACTCAATGGGTCGACCCTAGATACGGAGGCTAACCCAACAGGGTCCCATACACGTTCAACTAAAAGCCCAACCCAAAATTATTCAAAACAAAATTAAAAATCTAACCAAAATTCAAATTTTAAATTAATTTATTATTTATATATTTTAACGACTATCCCCTAAAACATTACCTAATTGATTACAACTAGTTTAAAAACAAAAACAATTAGATTCCAATGGCACAAAATATAAGTAAATAAATAATTAATTAATTACATAAAAACGTTTTTTAAAATATTATTTGAAAAAAAAAAAAAAAAAGGAGAGGTTGTGGTTATCAATCAAATAACGCAGACGTAGAAGGGAGAAGAAGAGAAAGAGGACCACTCTTTTTTCCACTTTAGACGAGTTACGTGTGTGAAAGAAAAAGCAAATGGGGGGGGTAGAATGGTAATTAACAAAATACAAATATATAACCAATAATTATTAAAAAAAAAAAAAAAAAAAGCACGTGACCAAGATCCACGGTTACATTTGTCTCCCCCACAATTACTCGTAACAAGCACGTGATCCTTATTATCATGGATATATGATTGACGTGGAAATATTAAGTTTATTTATAAAATTATTACTCCACATTTTAAAAATTAAAAAAGAAAAGAAAAATCCACGTGGTGGTATTTGGTAAAAAAAAAAAAAAAAAGCGAAGAGGGATGGGCGTGTCAGCAATGATACGAACTAATATCCTGAATAAAATAAAATAAAAATAAAAATAAAATAAAAAGGAAAAAAGATATGAAGAAATATACTTGGTATGCGATAAGGGAGGCAAAAGCTGCATGGAGCTATACGCTTTGCTTTCCCATCTTTCCCTATTTATATTTATATATTTACATATTTATATATATATATTTGTATCTGTATTTATATTTATATACTTTTTTTTTTTTTTTATTGGGGTTCGGAGGGTGCATGAAAATGAGATAAAGAAATATTCCGGCAAAGATTTGATTGGATGGAGAGGGAATTAGATTCCCAAAGCATACACACGTACTTTTTTTTTTATTTTTAAATTATTTTCTTTTTATTTTTTATTTTTTAAATTGTTAAAGTCAGTATACCTACACTATCGAATTTTAATTTTGTTAGTTGATTTAATTTATAGATTTAAATGGATTACGAAAAAAAATTAATTGATATTTTAAAAATATCATGTTATGTATATATATATATGTGATACGAATTAATTTAGTGATGTTTACATGTGAATGAATTAAAAATTAAAATAATTATAGTGTAATTAAACTTGATAATAATGTCGGGGAATCTAATACGACGATTAATGTAGTTAGTTTAAGAAATACAAAAAAAAAAAAAATATATAGATATTAATTTAGGCAAAAGAGATTAATGATTAAAGACGAAAATGTGTACTTCCAACAACTGACTCAGAATTTCAGTAACAAAATTGGTCGGATTTGAACTGTGCATATACACCCAATAAATGCTCTTTTAATAATTAAAGTCGAGAAAATAAAACTCACATTCATTATTATGTTGGGACAAAAATATCCTTTTTTTTTTTTTTTTCCTACTCTGTGTATGTTTATTATTTATTATTTTAATTCTTTTTTTTTTTTTTTTCCTACTCTGTGTATGTTTATTATTTATTATTTTAATTCTTTTTTTTTTTCTTTTGTATAATATGGACATGAACCAATTTTATCTTCTTCTAGAACATATAACACATAAAATCCACTTTTTTTTTTTTGGTTTCAATTTTGATCCTAAATTTTATTTTTTTAATACAAGAAAAATCAAGGAAATTTAATTAAATAATTATTTTATTTTATTTTCCAACAATTTGGATGATACAATAATTTTGCTAAATTGAAAAAATAAAAATATTTCAAAGCTAAAAAATGGAAAACTTTTTATATATATATATATATATATATATATATATATATATATATATATAAATAAATATAGGAAAAAGTGGAAGGTACTTAATATTATCTGGTTTGCATGGTTAAATAATGGTGGGTCTTTTAGCCAACAAGACTCCACTTCAAATTAAAAATTGTACATTATTAATATGCATGTCCCTTTCACTTCACACATACATACATGCATGCATGAATGCATACATCATCATGGTTTTTTTATATTCTCTTTAATGGCATATATTCAATATTCCCATGACTAATATAAAGAAGAAAAAAAAAACTATTTAAGTTATTTGTTTTGGAGTTAATTGTCAATTTTCTTATCCTAACCACAAAGAAAAATTGCTTTTTTTTTTTTTTTTTTTTTGCTTGCAAAAATATTAAATAATATTTAAACTTTTTTTAGGGTGAAATAGACAAGAGAAACAAAAGGACATTGGATTGTGACACTACCACTTAAGACCATTCCACCATAACTTCACCTTTTCTATAAATATTTTTTATTTTTATATATTATTTATTTATTGTGTGTACTGATGAGCATGCATGGCCAGAACAAAATATTATATCCATATTTATACTTTCTTCTTCTTCTTCTTCTTCTCTCTCTCTCTCTCTTTCGAAACCCTAAAGATATAATTTTAAACTTCATTTCTATATGTATATATATATATATATATATATATATATATATATATATATATATATATATA